ACTGTGGCAGAAAATCCTTTTAAATTTACACAAATCATAGGAAATCCCTTTACAGAAATGGGGGGGGGGATGTGAGATTGAGACCAAGAGAAAACAACATGCTTAATATCAAATAGTAAAGCTATGGTAATAAACCTTCATACACCAAGCCTGTCCCAACAGCCATATGTTCAGATGTGCAAACTGCACTCACATCACTCTCATATGAACACAAGACAGTTTGTAGCTGGGACTTGGAACACAGCTCTTTAAAAAGGTGCCATAAGAGAAGAGCATGAATGCATATGATTCCCTTTAAGGAGTTTAAAAAAAACCACCGCTACTAACAGGTCACATTTTTTTGAACACTGAATTTGATCTGATAACAGTTTCTGATGCTTTCATCTCTTGCTGCTATTGAGTGCTTAAGACTTTCAACAAGAGCCAATGCTTACATCACATGAAGATTCACAAACAGAGCTGAAGGCACTCATGAATATATTTAGTCGTGTTACCATTTATTGAATTCTCATGTTTTCCCCAGAGAATATTTCTGCAGACTGCAGACCTGGGAAGCCCTAACCTGAATGGCTCAGGCTAGCCCAGTCTCATCAGATCTTGGAAGCTAAGTAAAGTTGGCCCTGGTTAGTATTTGGGTAGGAGACCACCAAGGAATTCCAGGGTCCCTGTGCACAGGAAGGCAATGGCAGAACACCTCTGTTAGTCTCTTGCCTTGAAAACCTTATGGGGTCACCATATGTTGGCTGTGACTTGATGGCACTTTACACAGACACCCATACCCCTGGGAAATGCCAACAGATTACTAATTTATAAACAGAAGCCCTGAAACCAACATGCTAATTGGCAGAATTCTACAACAAGAGAACATCTCCTGTCAGAAAGTATCAGAAAAATGGTTGGGACCATCTCTTGTAAGAAGCCCCATCCATATTTAGAATGTCTGTGAGACGCACAGCATTTAAGCCATCTTTGAACATTTTATTATAGTAAATATTTTCCTGCACTATGAACGTAATACGAGCAAAAACACATAAATTCAATGACTTAGAGTATTTGTACTTGGTCTTTATTGGTATACTCTTTATACTGATTTTAGACTGTATCAGCTCATTTGAAAATATAATGAACCAAAAGGGAAAGACCAGTGACTCCTTACGGCAAGCTAAGCAAATCATGCAAAAAGGGAAGCAGTGTGACCAGCTAGGTACATATTTTAGTACTTTGAACATCCTGTAACCGACTATCATTAGAAATAAAAGGTGAAGTACTAAAAGATTTATTGTCTAAAACGCTGTAATACTGTGTTTCAATTATTAAAAAGTGAGCTACAATTCCTTTTCTTCCCCGCCCCCAAACATTTCCAGTTAGTTCTTCCACACACACTACTTCAAGTAGGAATGAGACACCAAATCCCTATATGTTACAAGAATCTGTTCAAGATCTTTCTTCCTTCAGCCTACCAATGAAAGACACAAACATCATATGGAGTTCACTTTTCAGCATTTGGCTTAACACTTACTTTCAACAATATGCAGTCTGGAACTTCACGTTCTGGCACCAATAAGAACAGCTTGTTAAACTCCTAATTTCTACACAGCCAATTGCTGCCAAACAATGGTCATTACTGAAAGATTTATAGAAAGCAGTGCATTTGGCTGGCACACTCCCTAGTTCTGATTAATTCAGCAACGTTTGCTTGTTCTTAGATGGCCAGGCATGGAGGAGGAGGACAGCAAATGCTTCTTCTGCCACGTGAACACAGGAGATGCTCACTGCAGGGCTAGTGGCTCAGCTTGGCTCCAACGGTTTGATTTTATGGGGAAGATGGATACCAAAATTCTTTCCAATTGCTAGTATTGTGCCACGCAAGTAAATGAGCTCACAGATCTACAAGAAGAAAAAACACTGGACTGGCCCTTACGAATGACACCCCATTTACTCAGAAGTGTTGACTCCCACATAACTTTTAAACACTTATAATTTTTTGCTAGTTAAAATTCATTTTTAAAAAGTTAACATTTATTTCTATCTTGGGATACTATTTGTTTATCCTACTAGGCAAAATGAGGGGTCGTTTTGTGGCTAATACTAGAAATTAAAACTTTAAAATAAAAGGGGTCTACTTCTGGTCAAAATCCCTCTAATATGGAAGTTATGTAGCTTTAATAACCCTTTTTAAAATACAGATTCACACAGCCATAAATGGAAAGAGGCTACAGAACAGTTAAACCACATTTTAATGAGGTACAAAGTCACTTTTCTTTATGCAGTGTATTGAACTGTTGTCCTGAACTGTTCAGGACAGAACTAAAAAAAAGTACATAAAAGGAAAAAAGCTGAAGCTCAAGATCAAACCTAAACCAAAAACCAAACTGGAATTTTCTTCCATAAACAGAAATAGCAATATTATGAGAAAAATTCTACTGAACCTGAAAGAGGGGGAAAGAGAACCAACAGTAGCAATTCAGAAGTTTGACAGATCACACTACATAGTGATGGTGGTACAATGAACGTCCTCTCCTCCGGACACAACTTCAATGAATCATAAACACATCAAATCCACTCTTATACAACTTTTGGAATAGCCCAGACATTTTTACTTTGCCAATCGCTAGGGCAGACAAGATAAAGAGCTGTAACTAAAAGGCTACAGTTCACAAAAACTTAATATGAAGACAGGAAGCCGCAAAAAACAGAATTAAAAAATCATGCTGTATGAATGAATATGGGGAAGAGACCGTTAGCATTATGTTTCTCCATATTACATCTTCCTACAATCTAACAACAAAGATCAAAGTTGTTTTTAACATATTCTCTTTTTATTTCACTTTTACACTATCGTGATTCAGCGTCTTGGACACGTTCCAGGCTTTTCTACAAGTCCGGTATCACTTTTAGTATACAATATCAGTTACATCAGATATGCAAACCAGCACATTTATTTTATTTTATTTATCCCCCACTTTTCTTCCCAATGGGGACTAACATAAAGTAGCTTACATTAAAATTCTTCCCTCCTCCATCTTATCCTAACAACCACCCTGTGAAGTAGGTTAGGCTGAGTGCATGTGACTGGCTAAGGGCACCCAGCAAGTTTCTATGGCAGAGCGGGGATTCAAACCTGGGTCTCCCAGACACTACTACATTTTTCAACATTAACACTGGAACGAAACTTTTTCAGGTGTGCAAAACGAACTTTACAGGCATGAACTATTTTATAGGTTCATTTCCTGCTACTAAGGATGTTCTTCTTTCCTAAGGAATGCTGGCGCTGCCACCCAACAGCCTGAACCGAAAAATGGGAAGGGGAGTAGAAAAAGCAAGTGCAGAAACACAGGTTGACCCAAAGACGGGAAACAGGTAGAAAAGAAATGCAAAAATGCAAAAAGGCCATCCATGAGAAAAAGAACTCAGGCCAACAGCAGCCATGCCATCTATTATTCAGCCCCAAGACACTATTTTAGAGCAGGAGTTTAATACCAGATAGGGCCAAAATATTGCAGTTTGATCTTACTGGCTGCTTACATATACTAAATTCACAGATCACCTGGGAGATGTTCTCATGCAGTCCAGATGGAGCATGCCTATCAAGCTGAGATCAATGAGACACACCCACAAACAGAACTGCGCCTTAATGGTAAGAGCCCCCCCCCCAACATAATGGGGAAGTATCATGTGAAATGTCAATGTCGCCTTTGCCTAACATTGCCTGACATTTGCCTCTGCCATTGCAATATTTCCCCCCCTCAGCCTTTTCCTCTCCACACCTCAGTTTGTGCTATGAAACTGACAAAGCAGCCTGAGCACACTCCTCCTTTCCCTCCCTCACAACCTGTCTCCCTCCCAGACAGACACTGCATTTACAGATTACTTGTAAGTGCACATGTGGAAAGTATCACATCTGGTTAAGCCCTGAAAAGACGTTTAGAGTGAAAAGAGTCTGCCTAGCTCAGTATCCAGTACTCTTTAATGGCCACTACCAGATGCTACAGACCACAAAGCATTACTTCAGTATATATTGATTGCTTCAAATTTCTGACACTTTGGTAGAAGGAACATACAAGCCGCTGTACTGCCAATTCTTTCAACCTAATTCTTTCAACTGTATGTCCCACATTAAGCACGCATTTTAATTTCCTAGGCATGCTAAATTTGGGGGAAATTTTGACTTGTCACCACTGAAAAACAAAACAACAACAAAGTCACCAAAGAAATTTAATATTAACTGCCCTGGTGCATGACAGGCCAATAACCCACGCTAGTTACGCTTGAAAAAGAAGCGACAGAACTTTAGCCATATTTAAGACTTGAGTATTCACACAGCAGCCTGTTTGGTAATGCAGAGGAATTTCACATCACCCTTTTTAACTTATTTTGAAGCCGTTTTTGATCCGTCATGGAGTAAACCAGTATAGGACTGCCGTTTCACACATGGCTTTCCCCTTCCGGTAAAGAGCTGGATCTGAAGCGGTTTGCCATTTCAGACTGCACCACTTTTTCCCCGCCGTTTTTCACCCATGCGGGCAATCTCCGGCTGCTTTTTTTTGAACATTCGCTTTAGAGTGCTATAGCACTATAACAAAACACTCCAGGCACTCCAATGGGGTTGATATAATGCTGCTGCGTTATAGTGCTATAGCGCTATAAAGCTAACGTTCCCATAAAAAAGCCGGAGATCGCCTGCGTGGGCGAAAAACAGCGGGGAAAAGCGCATCGGACCGGGAGAGGAAACTGAAGACTACTTGGAAGCGGTTGACAGGTAAAATGCTTCAGCCCCATTTCCTAAACGGGACAGGAGCGTTTGTGTCTGAAATTACAAATATATTCCGGTAGGGAACCAGTTCTAAAACGGTTCTGTCTGAAATGACAGAACAGAAACCGTTTGGGAACCGTTCCTCTTCCGGATTATATTGTCTGTCTGAAATTCCTCACTGTTTCAGAAATATTAACATAACTTTTGTTTGAAAGGACAATATTTACTGCAATGCATCTCATCTTACCTGCACTTGTTCTGTGGAACTGCTGCTGAGTTCATCTCCAGATTCTGAGTCCTGGTGGATTTTTTCTGAACTTTCTCCTGTGCTGAATCACAGGCCTGCTCTTGCAAAAAGCTAGTCTTTTCTATTTCCATACATTCAGAACAAGGAAAATAGGACACAGAAAAGGTTCTGTTCTGAGTGGAAACTTTAGGGAACTGTAACTCATTATGTTTTCCATTATTTTGTGCAAGGTCCAAGCTCAATCCAAAAGTCTGACCTGGGCTACTATTTGGTCCCAGATTCTGATTGGCATCCTGAACTAGGCCAGACACTTGAACTGGAGATGATTTTCCAAAACTAGAAAGCTCTGGAGACTTATTCACATTTTCTGTAGACTTCTGTAAACCATGCATAAGTTTGAGCGAGCTGTTTGGCAGTCCACCCAACTGTTTAACAGGTGGCATTAGTGCTTTGCGAGTTACTTCTTTCACATACTGTGCCGGTACATAAAAAGGCTTGGAATTCTCATCCTTTTTGACTTGCCACCAGTCATCATTTGTCTTTTTCAACAAGATGTATCTCTCCCCTTGTTTTATCACAATCCTTTTGTTCTTTGCTTCATACTCATAGTCGTATTCAACTTCAATGTACAATGGCCCTGCAAGAATTTTTCCACTTTTGTCAGCCATCTCTTTGTAAAGTTGTATTCACCTTTCCAGGTGAAAGGTAAGCTGCATTATGGTTGCTTTTCTCCAGTTCTTCAGCACAGCTATAAGGAAAGAAACATATAAGTATTACTATATAAGCTAACAAATTTCAGCTTCAAGTTAAGCATTTCCAATAGGCCTTTAGCATAACATTCCCATAATCAGAATAAATTTCCAAAATTATTCCCCACAATTTACCAAATGTTCTTGAGCAACTGGATTTCCTCTTGCTATACTGACACTAGTTTTAAGCACCACTGTACTTTGGTCTTTAAAATCTGGTGCATATGCATTTTGTCCAGTGATGCACAAAACTATTATTTCTCTGCCCATATATTCTATAGGTAAACATTATATATTAAAGCAATATAACCTTTTCGAACACATGTAACTGTTAGCTGCTTACATTTTACCCACTATCTACTAAGCCTATTGTTTCAGTTACTTAACAAAATGGATCAGATCTTTTTTTAGCTCAAGACAATCTCTTGCTTACATAGAGGATTTATTTACATAGCTCAGATATTATTAAATCTTGGGGAAAGAAAGGATTGTTTTGTTTCATTTACCTCCCACCTCCTTCAATGTATTTTTCTGAATTCAGAAGTTGCCATTAAATTTTCATTAACTTCACTAGTTCCACCCTAAAAATATTAATTATACCATAATCACTGAAAGGCATTGTAAGTTGTCCCTTTTGAATTCTATTATCCTATTTTAACATTTGTCAAAAACCTCTGGGAGTCATAAAAGATTTTTTAATCATCCTATGTTGTAGGACAAGGGAAAAATTAATGTGATTTCTGAATATGGGGTCTGACATTTCCTCTGACATGTTTATATATTGACAGTTGTCACTGTGCTTTCAAAAGTCTAATTATAATAGATCTAGATTTTGGTATATAACCTAGAATTTTCTGATTAGAGAAACATAGCAGAATATATATTTTATAACTGCACTTTTTGTATATGAAGCTATATATTAAGGAAAAGTATTATTAAGAGGCCTCTGGGGATAGAATTAGGATGCAATAAGAATGGAATGGGTACACAAGAAGCTGCAAGGATGTCAAGAGCGAAGTTAAATGTGAATCACAATCCTTACCACCCAGCTCCCCAGAAACAAGGGAAAGATGGACTAGCTTCACTAAGGTCAGAAAGGTTCTCAATGTTCCCTAATGTTCCCATTGCTCTGAAGAATAGATAAGCAAATGTAATCACTGACAATACATGAGGGACCAATAGCAAGGTATGATGTTAACTGCTTGGTACCAATTAGAGATTCTTCAATGTATAAACTATATGTGATGTCATTTGGGGTATAATACCTCCTGCCCTTCCCAGTTATGGCAGAATATAGCTTTGGAATTGCTGAGTGCTAAGGCACTCAGTCCTGTATTCCCTGTTGCAATATTAAACAGATATTCATCTAACTCGTTGGACGCAGACTGTGTGTTTCCAATTCGGCACGGGAGCACACAGACACAGATTTGTGTATCGGAATCTGGTGACACAGATTCAGTGTTCAGAAAATGTCTTTCCTAAGGTGATGCTGTTAGTACAACCATAGGCTTGCAGAAGTCATGATGTGTTTCCATATATATAATTCAAGCTATTTTGGACAGTGGCATGAACTAAATGTATACAAATGCCCATATTCCTTTCCAGTACCATGATGCATTATTTTGCTAATGGTTCTGCCTAGCCTGAACCTACTAACAAACATTTGTATGTTCCTAACTTTCAGACTAGCAGAAAGCACACTAGGTGGGGCTGTTCTTGAAAGACCTGCATAACTGAAAGCACATTAAACCAGTCGCTTCCCATTACTTCCTGGAAATAATTCAAAGCTATATGCATTAATTATTAATGAATTAATGCAGCCTCAGAGACGGCATTCTCCTTTTTGTTGCAACGCAACCTTCAAGATCAGCAATCCCCAGCACAGTGCCCATGGCCTCTCTTCCCTGACCCCTTCCACATTCCTTCATTATCCCTCTTTAAGTTCCCTTTTGCTCTTCTGTCTTCCTTTGATATGTTCACTCTCCTTTTCTACTTTTCCCTTTGTCACCTTTCACGCCCCTTCCTTTCACTTTCTGCTCCCTTCCTCTCTTGAATTTCCCTGCCCTTAATATCATCCCACATTGTCTTTGTGTACTAAAGGTGATAGAGAGATGAAAAGATGTGCTGAAAACAATATGCCAGGGATACAGCCAAGCTTCGATCACTGACTGCAAAAGAGTAGCCATAGCTTAAAGAGCAACAGGGCTCAATTTTTCTTTGGGGGCAGGGAGAGGGCATGTTTGCTTAAAACGACTTCACCTCAACACTTACCACAAGAGGAGTCAAAAAAGGAGACAGTGAATGAAAGGTTTATACTTCCCCCAGTTTCAGCCAGGGAAACCCATCCCACTACTCACCACCTTCACAATACTCCAAACAACATTAATGATACACAGATATATAAACTTCCCAGTATTGGCTTAAATTGAATTCTTCTGTTAAGAGTTCCTGACCCTGCAAAGCCTTGCTTGTGGTAACTAAGACCACCCATCACAGTTAATAATTGGATAATTACATCATTACTTGAAAGTTTTCTTGGCCTCCTACAAAACTGACATCTTATTTCTCCCATTAACATCTTATTTAATTGTAATTTTAGAATCCCAAAAATGCCCACAAGCTTAACAAGCTCCCTGTCCAAAATCAGAGGGTTTAATGTAACACCTAGGAACTATACCCAAACAGCAAGGGCATGCAGATAGAGGTATTGCTCAGTTATTAGCTCCATTCCCACAGCACTCTGCCAAAATCTGAGCCTGAATACCTCTACTAACCCTGGAAGTCCTTGATTATTTTGTCATGGATTTTTAGCATTCAGGACTAAATGGATATGGGTAATTATAACATTTTAGCTATTCAGGATTTGTACTGTACTTTTTTTCTTAACCCCTTCCATCTTAAATTAGTGAGGTACAAGTAATGTGATATGCTCCAATTACGTTAGAGTTCAAAAACGTTGCATGTGATTGCTTTGAAAACTACTCCAACTTAACATAAATTGTTTAAGGTTTGTTTATTGTACACAAATACAAACCTAACACAAAAGGCATTGGAGTCAATAGCAGAGATGTAAAATTTCCAGAAATTTTGACGTTACGGGGAAAAAAGGGGGGGGGGGTTCGAGAAATTATTTTTTTAGAAAAATAAAAAACTCAATATTACTACTCTTAACAGATTGACAGTCACGTTGTTACTTTGTGAACGTAAAATGCAGTGTGCATAGATTGGCTTGGCATAATAGTATCATCTTTGATATATTAAAAGTACAGCTTATTCAGAAAATAATACATATTTTAAATTTTATTTTCTGCTACAAATGGAACTACGAGGTCCTGAAAGGCCCAAAAGCAAAAGGAAACCATTTTCCTTCTCTTGTGACAACTGTAGTGCCCCCTAGAGAAAGAAATGTATCCTCAGTATTTTCTCAGTATATGAATTGTATTCCAGCATTTGATAATCCTCAGCGTACAGGTAATGCAATGATTTGATACTTTACATAGTCTTATTTAGAGAAATTATTGGAGGATTAAATATATGAACACCTGGTCATAAACATGTTATTGTAAAAGAAAATATTCCATAATACATTTTTCCCCAATTTTTCTGGGAAAAAAGAACAGCTTCAGGGGAAAAACAGGTTTCCCCCCAATTTTTCAATTTTTTCCCTGAGCCTTCCCATCTCTAGTCAATAGTCACTCAAATCTTTTCAAGGCGTTTGCACCTAGTTTACATGCAGCAGAGAGTGTAGTAGCTATAATGTAGTTATGCATTAGCTGAAAACCTGCACGTCATTATCAGAGCCTGGGGAGTGTCTTGAAGGTCATATACATAAGGGCATTTAAGGGTCATTAATAGTAGTTAATAGCAGTTAACACCCTGCAAAGCCAGTGCAGTTTGCAGAATTGAAACCTGGCTCAATCTGCAAAATATTTCACATAATCAGTAGGTAGACGCCATAGAGTCAAAACAGAAGGGACCAAGTCTGTAAAAGGTAGTGGGTGCGTGTACATCCAATTTGGATCAAGCCCACACAAGAAGAGGGAAGGAAATATTAGTTATTTATTCAGAATATTTCTATGTTGCCTCTTCAGAATCCTGGCCGAGGCAATTTATAATCAAAAACCACAGGACAAAAAACCTAAAGTGATTAGACATAAGCAGCACAAATTCTATCTATAAAACAGAAGACCATTAAAAAGCTAATAAGATAAAACCCCTGATCAAAACAGGATCTTTCCATGCAGTTACTAGAGTTGGAAAAGAAAAGAAGACATACCCCCATCTTTTCCCTTTAAAATGCCAATAGTACAGGGAGTGTGGTCAAACCTACTGCAGAGCGATTGCAAAGATAAGTGGAGAACAAGAGAACCACATACACTGCTTTGAGCTGCTTGGAGAGAAGAACAGGATAAAAATATACTATACTATAAATTCCCCCTCCCCTCTCACTTAGTCCCTGTCTAACTCAGAGCTTACACAAAATTTACGTTTTACAAAATGATAAAGATCTGGGATTGGCCCACAGTGACTAATGCAGTGGACTGAAAATGAGTTTAAACTAAAAATATCAAATTGTGAGAGAAAGTTCTATGTAACCAGGGGAATCTTCAAAATGGCCCTCCTATAATGGAGGAAGTCCTTAATACACATTAATCTGAGAATAACAAAGGTCAGCAACCCTCACATCTCACAAGAGTTCAGCTGCCTTGTGGTCTTAGTAACTTTATTGGACAGCAAGGCACCATTCTGGTTGTCTGATCAAACTTACTGGATAGGAAGGCACAAGGAGGCCTCATCAAAGAGGAGGAAAATTCTGTAGGATATTGTTTTTCAGCACTGATTGGAAGTAAAAAAGGCCTGTATTGAAGCTATACACTATGAACTGTGGTAGAGCACTCTCCCAGAGCCTTTCTAGATCCCGTTGTATTTATTTCCACAACGGGCCTTATTTCTAGTTTCTAATAAAATGTTTATATATGTAAAGTGGCATAATATGATAACATGCTATAACATTTTGTCATGTGGGGAGGAAGGTCAGTGGGACCCATAAACCTCAATGATTAGCAGTCTCTTTCACTCTTTCAGTCCAATGGAGCTCAACCATACCCTAATGGCATTCTAGCAAACTATTTTTGAAAGTATTTTCAAAATATATTTTCTTTGAAAGAAAAACTTCGGGGGGGGGGGATGAGCCAGTGGGTCACAACTTACCCTATTACCCTTGAGGAATACATGAACAGTAGATATTCACTAAAAAGGTTTAATGGGCAATTTCTGTACTATTCTGGGGGCACCATGTAACCCCCAATGGAGAAAGATGTGGAATAAAAAATAAACAGATGCACGTAACAGTTCGTACCTTTCGGTGTTAAAACTGTCATTTCAGTTCTAATTAGTCAAGACACTAGTGTACAATATGTTAAATCTTATTAGGAAACTAGACTGTTAAAAGCAAAAACTATTTGTAGGTTAAGAAGATCAATAAATTTGAGGTTTCCTGTCTGCCTGCAGAAATGCAGCCCTGATCCAGCTGTGACCACATATAGTTGCACATGGCTAGCTATGCATTCAACTGAATGTAAAGCAGGGAGGGCAGCCAGAATTCACATCTGAACACACATCCCACTTATGCCTGCAGTTCCCAAGACAGCAAGAATGGATTGGATCCTCTAGAACAGTTCACAGAAGGTGCTGGTGAGGCAGATCTTCCCCCATCTTCCATTTCACCTGAAATTCCTCTCTGAGGATCACAAGAGCCTGGCAACCACAGGATGGAGGGACAGCAGTGACTATATGGAATAAACTTGAATTAGTCTCCCCCACATCTTCCTCATGGAGCCAGAGCCAGAAGAAGAGAGAAAGATTTTATTTTCATTGCTCATTGCTGTTGTAGCCCTGTGTCCTTTGGCACATTTTGCTTATAAGGCTCTTCCAATCCTCAGAGAGGAGTTTGGGGTTAAAACACCAGGATGCTTGAGGAAGAAGACAGTGGGGAAAGACCTGCTCCTTCAAAACCTCCTGTGAACTCTTCTGGTGCATTCAAACCAATATGTGTGCCAAAGCATTCTTTTGCATGAAGATCTCCTGATTTGAATTGTGGAAAGGTAAATTCTTAACTTACTACCATAACTGCATAAGCATATCCAATGTGCAGCTCTCAGGTATCAGCTACAAAAACTGAATAAATTGACAATATAGGCTGTGATCCAGAGAAGTGTGGGGCATCTCTTGCAGGCTAGTTGTGTCTTAACAAATTCTTCTTGAGAGAGAAGTGAAAGCTGCTTTACAGACATTCTTTTGTTTTTAGAAACCATTTGCAACACAGTACAGAGAGAAGGGTGCAATTGTGGGTGCAGAGGCAGCCTGCAGCACCTGTATAACTCAGTGGAAGTATTTTAATACTACTGCTGGTTGGTGACCTCTCTGAATATCCTCCAAGCCCCCAGTAGGGGTCAGTCATCAGAGGCCACCATGACTTCCACGTGCACACACACTAGCACACACATGCACATATGAAAAAATACCAAAAAATATTTTTAAAATGACCCTTTTATTCTGAAGTAAACTGAAGATTTTAAAAGTCTGCTGAAATCAAGCTCATATGTCAGCAGCTTCCCCCATGGAAAAACATTTATGTTCAAAACACACTGGAAACTAGCTGATCAATAAACCTGTCATGCAGCCTTTGGTTTGTTTTCATTCTACTGCATTCTGCAGCCCAGTCCTTTTTCTTACTGTATGTTAGTCTAACAGTCAGCATCTTATTCAGAACACACAAGATACCCATAAAGTGTCAAAATCCACCTGCCATCTCTCAGTGTGATTATTTTTAATACAGCTTATTAATTCATACTTCTCCAATGTAGAAAACACTGAAAGCAAAATATTTTTTTCAAAGCCCATATACTTCACAAAGCTAATTCAAATCAATGCAGTCACAAGCATGCTCTGAAACAAGCAATACAGCTCATCTACTTCTCCAAATTTCAAAGCAGTCCAAAATTAGCAAAAAAAAATCTAGCATGATAGCTATCTCTATAACCTTACTACGATATAACTGTGTGCTGCATTTCTGGTCTGATGGATTTCCCTTCTTGTAAGCTTTTTAAACACATGCATAATTTGCTGTCAATCCACAAGGCCCCAAAACATAACATTAGAAGTCATCAAAGTTCTGTGGTCAAAACTCAGTGTAGCGAAAACCAAGAGGAAAAAAGGGTTTTACTACCATTTATGTAACCCAAAAAAAGCACGCACAATTGCTTTGTTCTTCACCACAGACCATTGTGCAGCCAAACATTATTCCCTACAGCTGCAATGAACACATTAATGATGTTGAGGCATAAACAAAGTTAGTCATTGAAGCCACATTGGAGGACATTTAGATTCCCCCCGTCATAAGTTCTTACTAATTCAAGGCCAGATGAAATAAAATCCAGCCAACAGTTCTCTACACAATAGATGTTTTTTCTTACGTTGTGACTTGTCAGCATCTAAGGAACAAGCTCTGATTCAAACATCATTTCAATTAAGCCCACAATTTCATTTGAGAACCAAAAGGCACCTCTCCTGGCATAACAGTTTTGTCCTTCATACTGATTTTTTCCTACAGCCTACAGTCATACTTCAGGCAAAGATTCTGTTCAGTAGAGGAATGCAATACAAAGGGCTGACCACTGAAGATCTGCACTTCTGACAAGAATCAAGAAAACAAGAGTCATCTAGAGAGAGAAAACAGAAATGTTTCTAGTCACCATGGCAGAAAAGCAAACACATCACAGAATGCCAAGTCCCCAGCTTTCATAAACATTCTCCTCACATTAGCTGAGGGAAATCAATTTCACACAGTGAAATTTCATCAGAATAATTTTGCCTGACAGCTTGCATGACTCATCTGTACTGAATTCTGTATGAAATAGTTTCAAAATGAGGACAAAGACAAAAAGCCACAGATAGCAAGCACAGACAGTAGAGTCCAGTTCCAGAAGCATGGTATTCCTCCTGCACACCCACTGTCCCCCAGTAGCATTAGGGAGCATCCCGTCAGTTCCTTCAGAAAGAAAGGCAAAGCTTAACTTTTAAACATCTCACTAATTCACTATTCATCCCTCTTGTCAATTTCTCAAGGCATGGTGCATTTAAATGTCAAACAACTAAACAAAAATCACACAGGCGACATAATACCAGGCACTTGTCTTCTCTATGCTCCTGAAATGGTGCTCACCACAACTATGAATAACTAGAAAGAAATCTGTTGCTAACACAGTGTGGTTAACTCATACTAAGCAAGGCTCAAAGCAGTTTAAGGTCTACAAAGGCAATCTGTGGAGCAAGAGAGAAAATGCCAAATTTCCACTTAAAGCTTAGCTACTAGTTCCAACCCACCCACCTTTCTGCAGTTTGTCTTAACTGGTAGAACAAAGTTACATAATGTTTCCTTAATTATTCCACCCAATAGGTGCTTGTTATTTGCTCAAATATACATGGTACAGTAAATACCCTGCATGCTGTGTGTACACAGGCAGGTGGCACCTCTATCTATCAGCAAAAGCAAAATACACCACAGCAATAAGCCTTCACTTCGCCAGGAATGTATGAAGCTCAATTGGGAAAAGGCCCAGGGGGAAGGGGGCGGACAACTGCACTACCATGGTGGCATTCCATCTGTGTATGAACCACACAAACATTAACGCTTCCGGGCACAAACCAGTCACAGGCAGCTGAGACGACACCGCTGCTTATGGGGACGTCCTAAGACGCCGATTCCTACATATTTCCGGAAGCAGGTTGCACCAGTCCCAGCAACTGAACTCCGACTTCGGAGGAGTCCTGGGCAGGGTGGGAGGGCGAGTCTTCTCTGTCCCCCCCCCCAAGCTCACAAGCAGGGTGAAGGCTCACCGCAGGGAAGGCGAACCCAACCGACGTGCACAACAAGAAAGTTCTTCCAGGAACCACCTACATCCCCACCAATGTGGAATCTAAAAGCAAGCAAACAAAAAGCCATTATCTTTAAAATACCTCTCCATCTCCACCCCGCTTCCTCCACACGGGCCTGATTTCTGACATTCCTGCCAGTTAAGCCCAACAGGTGGTAAGAAGAAACCCACAGAGGCACCCATATGCCACCGTCTCCCCACCCGCAGTGAAGAGAGCAGGACGACCGAGCTCTTTAAAGGGCCGTTGGTGAGCCCATCCTCCCCCCCACCACCACCGTCTACCACCGTCTACCGCCACCTTTCAATTCCCCCATCTATTACTATAATCCACTTTAAAGGACAAGGAGCTCAGGAAACGGGGGGGGGGAGATTACTCCGGAGTTGTTAACACGGAGTACAACGACGTGATGTTGCGCTTACGAGGAGGGGGAAGGGGAGAGAGAGAGAGATGGGGAAGGAGTCCGCGAGGTCGCCCCTTCTTCCTTCATCCATCCCCCCTTTCGCAAACAAATGGACCGGAGCCATGTGAGGCGCCCCTTCCCCACAACCCCACAGGGAGGGAGGCTTGTTGGCGTGCTCTTCGACCGCGCTCCGCCTCTCAACGGTCCGCCTCCGCCTCCCCCCCCCCCCCCCGGTAAATAACAGCCCCTCACCTCAGTTAAAGGTCCAAGGCGCGCGGCTCGGCTCCGACCCTCCTCGGCTTCCTTCCGCTCGCCGTGCCTTGCTTGCCTCCACTCGCCTCCCTCCCTCCCTCCCTCCCTTCCTTCCCTCCTCTGCCAGCCGCGACTCAGTCCAACGGCCCCGCCCCTTTCAGCTCCGCGCCGAGTGTCAGCTCCAGGGCATCGCGCGGCCCGGCGTCAGAGGTCCTCGTCACGTGCCAGGGGGGAAAGGCGGGGCAAAGGTGAAAAGGAGGGGGAGGGGGAAGAAATAGGCGGGAAGAAGTGAGGTATTGGGGGGGTGGGGAGGACTGTCGCCTTTGCAAAAACGGCTGCGCGCTTTTTCCCCCTCTGAGAGGTTTGAGCGAGAGGCTCCCGTGAAGGGTCAATAAGTAAACCTTGGTGGAAGTAAAATCAGCAACCGCACAAACACACTACACGGCCCCCGTAATAAGCTGCCTCTTTTGCGTTGTGTCCCTCACGGCAGGGCGCCCACATACTCCGCCCACGCCGCACGTTCGCACAATAAACACACCGCTGGTAATAAGCCTCCAAGCAGTAAAACCTCTCACAGGAGGAGGATTAAATCCAGCCTAGCCGCCACAGGACTCCGCCATGCCTAGACAAGGAACTGTAGATAAATACTTCCTCTTTTGAAAGGGGAGATCTGATAGAGCTGCCCGCAGACGTTGGGAGTCACGCGGTGCCCACACCCTCTCCAGGAGAAGGCTCGCGTCTGTGGTTGCGGGATCCGGTATCAGCCCCCCGGCAAACCTGGGCGCTGGTACGGCAGACTGGAAACGACACACCCCCACCCCCATCAATGTATGCGGATTAGTTCATGTTTTTGAATCACTTTTTCTTGGTCCTTTGTTTATTGAGTATCCGCGTGGTTAAACCGGGAGAGCCCAATTGCTCGTACCCATTCGTTGGGACCTTGAGGTTTAAGCATCCTCATCTGACGACTGGAATTGAGATAACTAATTCCCGTTGAGTGGCTGCAGCAGGATTTAGGAAGCAAATCCCGTCCCTGTCGACAGGGTTTCCGCAGCCAAAGAGGATGATATCCCCACTTTTTTCCAAAATAGGCTTATGAAAGATTTAATCTTCGTTAATAATTTGTGAGGATAGAACCCAACCTGGGTATCTGCTAACAATCCTTCTGGGAAGCAGTGTTGTATATCTTGTGTATGTGGCTTTTTACTGGACTTATCCTCTTGATATTTAGGAAGCAGTGGTTTACCTCTCTTGGATTTTGGTGT